AGAAACAAGCAAGCTTGGCTTAATTTCTGAGTCAGAATTAGAAAGTAAATCCAGTTTTCCATGAAGGAAAAATTTTGGTCCACAAAACAACTTCCTAAACTTAACTGGACAGATTTTTATTTTTATTTGTATGTAGTACCATAAGGCTAGTGGTGTGTGAACAGAATATTAGCATACAATCTGGATTGAATTATATGCTCCCATATTCCAGACCATTCTCCGCCTCTCCTTTCAATCTCTCTTTTTTTTCCCTTAGGGAAAAAACACCCTTTTTTAATGTCATTTTAAGCAAGTGTATGCACCCTGCCAAATTTTCCCAATAAGGGATATTCACATATGAAAATTAATACTGTATTTAATTCTTGATTTTTATTATTTCATCAGAAATATGCAAGGAGGCTTATGCATAAGCTTTTTTTGCACTGAGGAAAAGCTCTAGCCATGTCTCTGCTCTAAGTTGTACAGCTGGTTTCCTTTTTAAGGACAGAAGATGCAATGAAATGACAACATACTATTTTTCCGCTCATATTTATAGGAGAGACCATGTCTACATGGGAAGTTTTAAATTTACCATGCCTGAGAGCTGTGCCCTCAAGCATGTTCAGCCCCTTCATGCAAGTTGCCTCATAAACCAAAAGAAATACAGCTGCATTGCTATGGCAGTGCAGCTAAGCTAATTGTTACTGCCTGGTGACACTCGGTTAGCTTTTTGCTCCCTCTCCTCCTATGCTAATTCACCTGTGCTCAGTGCTTGCATGGATGCTGTTACATTATTTCCAGCCCAGGCAGAGTAGTGTGGTATGCTGCTCCCAAGCACAGTAAATTTACCATGTAGATGTGGGTATACATACAACTGTATGTATCTTGAATTTGTTAATGTTTAAAATAACTGCTGGATACCTGTATCAGGAGACTTGAATTCATGCTCACAGAGTAAGTTCCTTAGGTAAAGATTACAATATTTATATCATCCTGTCTTCAAATACAAGAGAGGCTACAGCACACTGAAAAGGTTGTAGATGTGCTTTTGATGTTGCCTTTGCGTTGTCCTTCTTGTGTAAGACTGTCATAGTGTACTGGTTAGGAGTTTTAAGTTGCAATCCTGGTGCTCAGGCTTACTGTGGCATTCCCATGGGCAAGTTACTTTAACCTGACTGCTCCTTAAAGCCATCTCAAAGGGGAGTTTTAAGACTTAATCACTCATAGGTTTTTAATGTGGTGAGATGATATGAAGCATCCCAGGTGATTGATTAAAAGTGCCATCATCATACTGTTTTCTTTCACTTACCACACTCTCACTGTTCTTGGTACTGATATTTTTGGGTTGTGCCTACCTTCTGGTGGCTGTCTGAAAGTTGGAGCAAAATTCTTTAGAGGTACATATCGTATTGGCACTGATAAAAGGAAAATTGATGTTATTGGCAGTCAGCATTTTTTTTTTGGCTGATGTGGCTGATAATGTCGCCAATAAATGCCATGTGCATGTTTAGCCACAGCATGCATGCGGCCAGCTTGACAGCTTGGAGAGCAGCGTCTAGCTGGTAAGTGTGTTGGGGGTGGGGAAGGAATGGGGGGGACAACTGAGGCCCCTGCAGTGAGGGAAGGAGTGAGGCTGAGGCTGGGTGTGGGACGGCACTGTGAGTGGAGGGGGGCAGCTCCCACTGCTGCATGCATCCCTGGCGCCACACTGCCCCTACCCTGCACACGGATTGGGGGGGCACATGCCCCCATGGCTCCCCCAGGGGTGTGTGCAGTGGTGGGAGTTACCCCCCCTTCCCCATGCCCCCTGGATTTGCTGCTCATGGCTCTGTCCTGGAACCAGCCCCAGCCCCACACCCTCCCTCACCACAGTGGCCTCGATCTGCCCCTTCCCCCCACCAAGAGACTTACCAGCCGGACACTGCTCTCCCAAGCTGCCGGGCTGCATATTGACAATTGGATCAGTATCAGCTGATATGGCTTGTTAATAATCGGCCATCAGTATTGGCCCAAAAAATCTTCATTGGTGCACCCCTAAAATTCTTCTGGTTGTGTTAACTTAAAAATTCCATTTCTTTAAAATTGTTGTGGTACTTCTCCCCCTCCCCCCCATAATGGCAGCTGAACTTCTTAAACTTCAAATTTGGCATATGTAGTCCTTAAAGTGTATGCTCTGAAAAGCTGTACAATAAAGAACAATTGAAAGTCCATTTGTGATCATGGACAGTATGAAGTTTTGCTATGTTTTTAAATTAGGATAGTAACCCTGAGTGTTCTTTACTGTCAGATTTATCCAAAGCCAAGACCACTTTAAATTTTTAAAAGGACCCCCCCCCCCTTATAATTATTCTGTACATGAAAAATTATAAATTTATTACAATTCTCCATATATAGAATCTAATGATTGGAGATCTCAAGTGCAGACCCCAGCCAGTTGCCCTGCCCCTGCCAGCCACTCCCTCCCCTACACTCTCCCCATCCCTGTGTGGTGGCTCTGGCTGCAGCCCAGCCAGAGTAGCAGGAGCTCCTCTCATGCTGTGTGATCTCCCCTGCAGTTCCCCCTCAAACTGCACAGTTTCCCCTGTGCTTTCCCTGCTGTACACCCCCTCCCCCATGCTTCCCAGGGGCTCTGACCACATGGTCTCTCCTGTACTGCAGGGGTTTTCAACCTTTTTTAGTAAGTGGCCCCCTGGTGGCTGGAGGCGGGGGGGTGTGGCGTGCGGCCAGAGCATTGGCAGCGCGAGGGGGTGAGAAGCAGCGGCAGCTGCTGTGTGCACGCTTTCCCCCTCCCCGCCACCCCCACCCTAGCTGGCACTGCTGCCCTCACACCCCTCTCTCCCCTGCCCCGTCCCTGCTCCTGGGAGGCAGAGGCGCAGGGTGGTGGCGCTCCATTCCTGCCTGCCTGCGTGTACCCCCAGCTGACAACCCCTGCTGTACCACGTTTTCCCTTGTACTTCCCCCATTGCATAAGCCATTCCAGCCTGGGGCAGTCACCAGGGCCAGAGCCACAGCAGCTGCCTACCCCAGGGTGGTACTTGAATTTAAGACAAAGAGGTATTTTCCACCTTTGGGGGTGTTTATTTTGGATTTGAGTGAATACAGTCTTTTGGTATTGATCCGCTCTGGTCCCTTATATGTTTGTTGGGGGGAGGGGCAGGGCAGGGAATGGGAACTGGACCAAATTAGCCAAGATGACTTAAGCTGTTTCCTGGAATCTAATTAGTTGTTTTTATCATTAAAATTTGTGTACAAGGGTGAGGAACATGGGTAGGGGTGAAGGTGGCTTAAGCCTTTTAGAAAATGGTGTTCTAGTTGACCAGAACAGAATGTATCAAGCTGGAAAAGGAAGGATCCTGTATTTTCATCCTGTAAAATAAGATCCCTATCAACCTACAGGAGAATGAACAAGTGTGTATAACATCTAGCACTCTGGAATGAAAAGTGTGTGTGGGGGGTAATGTATACATGTAAAGTGTTACTATACTGTACTTCATTCTTCACTGTGACCCAAAGACATCAGTTTAGCCTGAGTGAAAAAATACGTTAGCATCCATTCAGCTATAACTTTGAAATTCTAAGCATGATTTAGAAGTTGTGTGACTTGATTTGACAGCATACATTATAAGGATGAATTGTCCATGTACTCATCTCACCCTTTTCTTATTGTCCAGTGGATGTTAAGTTCTGGTATCCATTCTCCCCTTAAACCACCTCCAGGAAATAAATATTTTCATTTCTTTTTTTTAAATTTATAGTTGATATTGTTTACAAGTAACATGACATTTCCATACTGAAAAATTGGAGGGGGTTTAGTTGAATTTCCAGTACCCTGAATATAACAATGGTTTCCTCTGTCATCAATTAGGTAATTTCTCCCTTTGGTTGCATACATCTTCTACATAGCATTAAGATGACAGAGGAAAAGGTGTTCAATCATTACTTAAAATTACTTAGAGTTCTTACTTTTATTGTGGGGTGGTGGTGGTTTGTTTTGTTTTTGTGTTTGTTGTTTTTTGTTGTTGATGCAACATTAAACTTGCAGGGGAGCTCATACCAGTCGGGAGAAGGCCAAAGTCCCCCTCTGGAGCACAGCACATGGTAGCTTTAGCCCTTGCTAGGTAATGCAGCAGTGTCGACACTGCTGACTGGCCAAGCAGGGGATGAAGTTTCCATGTATTCCTTCCCCAGGAGGGAACCGAGCCTGAACTGGTGGAAGGGGGTAGATGGGGGGGGGGCAAAAGTGCAGAGGAGGGGCAGGAGGTCTTGACCTAGGCTCAGGGCCAGAGTCAGAGTTGCAGCAGCTGCCTGCCTGCCTACCCCTGGGTTTGTACATGAATCTATAAGACATCTTGAACACAGTAGTGCACATTTTCACAGTTTTTTTGGACAGTGATAAAATAGCTTTAATTTGTCCTTTTTCAGTGAAAATACTTCCAGTTAATAGAGGCAGAAGGCAGGGAAGGATGATACCTTTTCATTTAGAAAAGTAGAAGTTTTTGTAGGTGACAGCAAATGTAGTCAGACGCTATGAAATCAGTTACTTGAAGGTGCCACCATGCCCTGCCTTCTGCGTAACTTCAGGCTAACACAGCTAACTACTTCTTTCAGTTAATAGTGAACAGGCAAACTTTTAAAATTCTTGCTTCCTCAAATAGGGTTGGAGTGTTGTAGCTGTGGTGTTCCAGGAAATATGCAAGAATCAAAGGATTTTTTTTCTTTTCTGGGGGGGTTGTATCTTTTATTGAACCAACTGTTTTGTGTAATGATTAACTGTGCCTTAGTACATCCAGTATTTGAAGTTGTAGCAGTTTGAGTAGATAACACGAAAAAAGAAAATCACATACACTTCCTTGTAATAAACTCTTAAACTGCCAATTCTTAGACACCTTTGTTGCAACTTGAGATATTAATGCTTAGAAACGTGTCTTCAGAAAGAAGTGAAATTCTGGTTTAAGCATATAAATTATGCAAGTGCTGACAAAAATAGTTAATGTCTACTTTAGAAGAAAATATTAGAAAGTCTGTTACACTGCATCATGGAAAGGAAGGTATAAGTATGCAGGAATTAAAAGTTTTATGTATACATGTAAATTTTTTTAAAGTTGTAATCAGTGAGCTATTTGAGCAATAGTATGATTAAGGACTGTGCTATAATGCAGATAGGAAATTAATTAAAAATAACCTGAATACTTAATTGTATAGCATTCATTTAATTATGACCTTGCTTGCTGAAATTAATTTGTAGTGCTCAGTAGGCTTCTTTTGCTCTCTTGCTTTAAGTTTTCCATGTACATTTTACAGAGTAATTTTCTAGAAGGATTTCCAAAATACCAGATTCATAGCAGCTTCATAATTAGTACTGTAGATGAAGCTCATTAACTGTTTCTTTTTCTTTACTGGAACATGCTTTCTTTTGCCACAGATGTAATTGTAAAGACTTTTGAACATATTCAGTTGTAAGTAGGGCACTTTAAAAAGGATCAGATGTTGGCTCTCAAGCTAGTAATAATGGAAAAAAGGAGTCTTAGAATTTTTCAGTGTATTAAAGCTTCCAGTTCTTTCCTCCTAGATAACATCAAAAAGAAAGTTGGAAAAAATCTGGCAGATTGCATGTGGAAAACTTGAAAATATTTCCTAATTTAGTATTAGAGCTCTTTATCCTGCGTCACTAAGACCAAGAGATCTGTACCTTCAGTATGACAGTATAGTATCCTTGATCCTCTGTGCCTGCATAACACATACACTCCCTATTGTTTAACTGCTTGTCTCACACATATTTAGAGCTTGTTTTCAGTTAGCTCTTTGCAGTTCCTAGCAGGCTTTTTGGATGCTTTGTATATAACAGTCTTGAAAGAAATTGCCACCATTCTTCCCTTGGACTCCTAATACAGTCTAGTTTTTCACCTAGTCTTTGCCGAGTGCCATCAGTGAGTCATGTAATCCCAGAGCAGCAATCATGGTAATATTGTATTACCATGTAATCACTGGAATTGACAGTAACTCTGGCACTCAGTGCTGATATGACTCTTCACAATAGATGTGATTTCACCCGCCCCTGCCTTTTTGCATGTCCATAGATAAACATTATGCTTACAGATTGGAAGGCACTTTAAATGTCTTAATGGACATGAAATGAAAACCGTTGGAACAACTGCAGCTTGGGCCTGCATTTTTCATGTGTGCCTTCCACCCAAAGTCAATAAGTTTTTTGGGAGGTTGGTAGGATTCCATCTGGCTGTTTCTTAGTTATCTGACTATGGGGTTGAAGGAAAGGCATTTCATGCTCAGCTTACTACTTAATTTTAATGCATCAAACTTGGAATGTACTTACTACTCGACAAGGAATGTTTTTCTAATAGGTTTTTAAAAAAAAAAGTGGTCTAGAAATAAAAATGGAAAACAAATTGCTTTATGCAGATTATAGTCTTTAATTCCCTTCCTCACTGACTTGCATAGTGTGTGCACAAGGTGGTTTTTTCTGAGAGATAAATATGTATCTTCAGTATTTCCTTGCATGATTATTCAACCTAGTTTCTACCTATCCTTTTAAAAAGGGAGCAAATTGGGCTGGGGAATTTTAGTGGTATTTAAAGTACGAAAATGAATTGCTGATCACAAGGAATAGTATATACTACTTTGTACTAGGATGTCTTGATCATTACTGAAATGATAAAATGTGTTAGCACTATCCTCCTGGTTTAACACAATTAAGACTTTATGCAAACTCAGGCACATATTGTTGCCTTAATTAAAGTTCTTACTCAAGGGTAGGCAAAGCATAGGCTTTTAGCAGATTTTAGATTTAAAGTTGAAAAAAGTGTAAGGTTGCTTGAATGTCACCCTCCCATCCAAGTGAGCTACTGTGTTATCTCTTTTTAAAAAATGTTATTTTAAGGGAGACAGTGAAGGGGGGCTTATATGGTGGCCATGCATCAGTCATTAACCTGAATATTTTGTTCTGTGGAATACTGACCCCAGACTCGGTGCTTATTTGAGTGTGTAATTTAAACATTGCACATTCAGACATGGCTTCTCTTCTGTTTCCTTTGTAAAATAAAGCATTTTGTCTGCAGCTGTTCTAAATAATAAAGTTGTCTTTGACTTTGAAGACCAGACTGATATATTAGAAAGTTGGAGGTAGCTTGTATACAGAGTTGGAGATATGTTTATTAAGAGACCTAGCCATTATGCCGGTTAAGGAACTAAGAAAAAGCCTTTGCAGACTAAGCAGTAGAGCTGAAAGCAGGTGGTTTGTGGGATATGGGGCCCACCAGAATCCACATACAAGTTATGTAAAAAGTAAATTGGTAAAATTTGGGGTGAATTCCAAAGAATTATTTTACAGCCTTTCTTTATAAAATGCTGAGGCTGACCCTACTGCATAGTGATGGTAAACACTGGTGAGCATGAAATGGAAATGACTGTGGCTGTGTTGCTTCTGAAGGATAAATGAGACTATACAACATGACTGCTTGGGTAGGTCTGTACCAATGTCTTAAGTGACATCAGAAGTAAAGCATTTACTCTGCTGTATTTCAGCATTATAGTTTAGATTTTCCAACCTATGAAACCTGAATCCTGCCTGCCTCAATCATGAATTTTTATTGAAGAATGAATTTTGAAACTCTTTTTTTTTTTTGCTGTGGAACTGAAGGGCACGGTGTCTGGCTGTGATTGCTGTAGCCCTGGCAGAGTTCCTAGCAGCTGTCACTCAGTCCATTTTTTGTCAAGACTTTTCCAGGATGTAAAACTAGTTTTGCTTCCTTTATGGAGCCGTGAACTCTCACTAACCCTGCAAGTCTCGTAGTCTTATCTATAATATCAAACAAGAATGGTAGAATAGTAACTTTTGCAGTCTTTTGCAGGAATTGTTCAGGGAAGGAAAATTATCTGATCCCATTTCCCTTTCTCTTGGTTTGGAAGACAGGGCTGTCCAATGGGTATGTGTGGCCCCCTGAAGGGTTAACCTGCACCCACCAGACTCCTGTCTGGGTGCTGTTTCCCCCCACCATTGGTGTCCAACTGGTGCCACTGGAGTCTCTGGGCTCCCTCTTCTTCCCCCAAGCTCCCACTGCTTCTGAGGGCAGGATGCCAGTCAAGGGGCCCTGCCCACCGAGGCATTCTGGCACAGGAGGTGGGGCTGAGCAACGTTGTGTAGCATGCAGCCCACACGCAATGGTGGAAGGACCTGCAGCCCCGAGCCACTCAGAAGTGGGACAGTCCTGTTCTAAGAGTAGGTGGAACACGAGAACTTCTCAGCTCTTCTGCAGTACTGTTCACTCGTACTTTTATCTGATTTATATTCTGCCTTCCCCAAGAAGGCTCAGGGTGCCTTTTTGCAATAAGAGAAACAGAACACTTTTATAAAATAGGAGAATGACATAACATTTTAAATAGGAACTAGAGTCCTTATATTGTGCTGAAATTTAAGGATGGGTAACATCTGACAAATTATTCTAAGGCCAGATAAGAGAATGAGGGGTTATGGTCTTGACCTGGACCAGGACTCCTGATAACTGCTGCCATATAAATAACCCCGTGCGATGAGTAGAACACTTGGAAAATTCCTGAAGCAAACCCAGGGGTATAGAAATGTTCCACTCCCCTTTTAGAAGGTAAGATAGGAATCGGAATATGTTTTTAATTTATTTTGTTGGGGTTTTTTCCTTTTCTTAGTCTATTAACATTTGTGGATTGCTGAGGTTAAAAAAGCAAATGGAGTCATTCATTTTTAACCTTGTACTCGGATTTAGTCTGATCAGCATCATGCTAAAAGTACAGCCTTTTCTGTGCTGTTCTGAGGGTAAACAGCAAGTCCAAAATTTTCAGTCCTATTTAAATATATAGCATTTTGCAAGCCTGTTAAGAAGCAGAATGCAGTTCTAGTTCAGCTGGGCAGATTTCCATTTTCAGAAGGATTAGGTTTATAATCTGCATTTTGGTAAACCCAACAGTCAAGTATCTCATTTAAATTTGTTCATGGAAGTTGTTGCAAAAAAGTCTAACCACATTTAGGTAAGGTGCTTTAATGGCATAAACCAGAGAGAGGCAATTATTTGGGCTGGAGGGCCACTTAATCAGTTTTGATATTTTCTCAAGGGCTATGTTTCTGTCTTGCCCCGATCCCTGTGCTGCCTAGAACTGTAGCATGCCCTGGTCCCCACCCCGACCTGGAACCTGCCAGTTGTGTCCACAGCTTATGCTGACCCCACCCAGCGTGCCAGAAACAGCCCCAGGCAGGTGCCAGCATCAGCTGTGGACATGGCCAGCAGATTCCAGGTGGGGATGATGGGGGTGTCTACCCAGGTCTACAGCTGACACCACTGCATCAGTGCTAAGTGAAAGCAATCCTGCCTGCCTGGTGCAGTGGAAACATCCTTGCCTGCCCAGCATCACACAGCAGCCAGAGCCGCCAGCTGACTGCAGGCTGGATAAAATTAGTTAATGGGCTGGATCTGGCTCATGGGCTGTATTTTATCCATCCTTGGTATAAACTACTAGGAAGAGGTGCCTTCTGTGGGCCAAAGATATTTCTCCATGAGGCAAGTTTTGCTGCTATAGCTTACTAGCTGTGTTAGTCTGAAGTCGGGCAGAAGACATGGCAGAGCTGCGCTTAAGGATGTAAACATGTCCCTGAGAGAGTCTTTTGTTCTGGGATCCTACAGACTACAAATCTGTTGTCCCCTTTGGCTAAAAACAGATATTGGAGTTCTCCCGAGAGAGCTGTATACCCTGGGATCCTACAGACCGCAAGCCCACAAGTGTTCCTATACAACCCTACAACAACTAACTTTCCTGTAGTAGGGAGGGGCAGAAGAAAGCCTTACAAGGATTCACTGTAAATCCTAAAACAACAAAGGACTGTTTTTACCCAGTGCTGACCTTTTTTTAAAAAGAAAATTCTTTGTGGTGTGTCTAATCTTTTATCTAAGCAAGATCCAAAACTTTCTCACAAGGGGAATGCTTTTTCTTCATATTTAATCCTGTTTTCCTTGCTGCAATTTTAGAGCTTCTGTTGTATGTTTCCAAAGATGCTTTTTTGACTCGAGCATATGAAAACGAATATTCTTTAGCTAGGTGCTAACCCTATTTTATACATTTTCAAGATATTTCTAACATTAAATGGTGTTTACCTGAATCTGACAATTTTTTTTTTTAAACTTTATTTACAAATATAAGAAATGCCCAAAAAGTTACAGAATATCCTGGCCTGCAAACTAACATTAGAGCTGAATTAAAATGTTTCAGGACAAAGGACATTGATGTGTCTCACTGATTTATATTACAGATTGCACTGAAGTATGACCCACAAGTAGAAGATGATCTACGCAACTGGATAGAAGAGGTTACAGGGCTGAGCATTGGTGCCAACTTTCAGTTGGGATTAAAGGATGGTATAATTCTATGCGAGTAAGAAACATTCTTTTCTTGAATTGTTTTACCCTTTCCTGTGTCTAGAGAGCACAAGATGGGGATTTCCCTTTGAACAGGTCAGTGCAGTCCTTTGTCTGAAAAAAGTTGCTACCAAGGGGAAGATGGTTTCCATATCCAAGTCCTCTTCTCTGAAGTAACAAACAGAATTGAAAATTGGGTCTCTGGTATTTCATCAAAAGTATTCTGAAAATCATCATTAGTACTCACTATTTAAATTCCATTCCTGATCTATGTATTAAACTTGCCAAATCACTTGGCTTTGAAAATCAGCATTTTAACATTAATTAAAAATAATTTCAACTCTTCTGCCTCAGGTCGGCACAAGCGTAGCATAAACAATAAAGATTTTTACATAACATCTATACAAATGGTCTTAAAATGAGATTCGTTGTTTAAGCATTTAATGTGTTTTTTTTCTCCAGACTTATAAATAAATTGCAGCCAGGATCAGTGAAGAAAATCAATCAATCTAAACTAAATTGGCATCAGGTAAAAAAAACAAATAAAAAAAAAGCACCACTTCCTTTTATTACTTCTAAATTGTGACTGAGATCTTCCTCCTTATATTTTGCCAGTGTATGCTTAACTGTATGTGAACATTTTAAGAAAATGAATAAATAAACAATCCCTAATGTAGTGGGATTGCCTTCCAAGTGGTATGTCAGTATAAATGTTTGAAAAAACATGAAGTACTAGCAAATTTTCAGTGGAAAAGTGGAACGGTATGCCAAGATGTCTTTTCTTAAAAGCAAGGAGTATTTCAACTTGTGTATTATTTAAACCCTAATTGGAATTTTCCATTCAGCCAAAGCTGTTGGGAGTCATATGAAATACACTGCCCTGCAAGCAGTAATGTTCAGGGTGACTGCATGAAGTGGCTTCTTGCAGAAAAGGAATACATGTCTTTTTTTTTTTTTTTTTCTTTCTTTAATTAAGCTTAGGTTTTTAGGGGCAGTCTTGGAATGAAGTAATCATATTTAAAAGGTTTTGTTACAAATGATTGACTATGTATCTTCTCTAGATATGCAAGTTGAAATCAGAATTAAACTATACATTTCTTTATAAGGAGTAGTCCGTCCCATACTGTAGGTTTATATTATGTTTGCAGTCCCTTGTAAAAGCTGTACTGCAGTTAGTCTGGGCAAAGTTGGCTGCCTTATCTGTTGCTGGTTCTAGCTGAGTATTACAAGCCAGTTAGCATTCCACTTTACCACAAACAAACTTTATAAAAAACAAAACAAAAAATTAAAATATATATTCTTATCAAAGGCATTTGAAATAAACTTTATACGGATGGAGACTGCTCCCAGTCTAGATGAATTCTTGGTATACAAAATGAAAAAATCAAAATGCAGAACCAAGTAGAAGCAACCTGATTATTACTAGTCATTTTAACTATCCTGCCTGTATTTACTTTATTTAATCTCTGACAAAATCCTAACCTTGAAAAAAGGGTCTACCATACATTTTGCAGTTGTAAATATTTTCCAGAATGAAATGTTCAGTGTGCAGCTCACTGTTTTGTTTCTGTTTAGCTGGAGAACATTGGGAATTTTATAAAGGCCATCCAAGTTTATGGTATGAAGCCACATGATATTTTTGAAGCAAATGATCTTTTTGAAAATGGGAACATGACTCAAGTACAGACAACACTGGTCGCACTAGCAGGTCTGGTAAGTTATTTTATTTACATAATATAAAATATATCGTACACAGCTCAGGTGCATGCACCTTTCTAAGGTGTTCCCTTTATCACATAAGCATAGAAAACTTAACATAGATCAGGAAGAAAGGACTGATGGAGCTAGCTTCTCCTTGAAGTACTGAAGAAGCCCTACTTTGGGGATCTTGGCGTATCCTCTGTGTGAGGTGAGGATGGTGGGTAGGAAGGGCTATAGCTATGAATTTGCAGTTTTTAACAGAACAGAGCTCTGCTCAGCCCCTGGATACACACATGAGCACCAGGAAAAGTTAATGTAGTAGCATTAATTCATGCTGAATCTCCACCACAGCAGCCACTCAGAGCTGGTTAGAAACTTCTGTGACAGTTTTGTTGAAAAATTCTGGTTACTTAGAGCCCAAAACAGTTCATGCAAGCCATTTTGAGGAACTTCCAACAAATCCTAGGTAAGATTCTGAAGAAAACTGCTGGAATCCTGATGGATCCACCCCCAAAAAAGCTGGATGGAGTGGGATTTTGATAGTGGGACACTCTCTTGATCAGTCTGTTTTGTCCTGGGGAAAAGTACAGGGTTACAAAACCCTGTATTTCCTTTTGCATCCAGCGGTGGCTTATATCTAAGTTTTTGCCCCGTGACAGGGCATGGCAGCCAAGCCCATTTGTTACTGAAGATGAAGTCTGAAAACTGAGGTTGACTGCTAAATCTTCATTGCCTTCAGATTTGCTCTCCCTGTGTGTGTATAGATTTCTCAGGGTGACTGGATGCAAAGGGTCCCAATTTTTCCTATTCCTTTCTGAATTTTGGAAGGACTAGAAGTGCTATGTCCTAGGAGGAGCATAGATTCCTGGCTCAATCAAGGTGCTACACACATGAAATTACTGCTTTCCTTTCAGGAGCTAGGGCAGCACAGTACTGTTTTGCATTATATAGACACATGCTTATAGTTGCCTTCAGCTTTGCATAGGGGTGCAACTCCATTGAGGAATTACCCTAATAACATATAACTTGAAAGCTGAATGTTCTCTCTCTCTTTATCTAGGCAAAAACCAAAGGATTCCACACTACAATTGATATTGGCGTCAAATATGCAGAAAAGCAAGCAAGGAGCTTTGACGCAGGAAAACTAAAGGCTGGTCAAAGTGTAATTGGCCTACAGGTAAATATCAGAAGATGCTTTCTCTTAGTTTGGTTTACCACAAACTTTAATATAATAGATCAGTTTCCTGAAGTGTCATTCATGAAAAATGCAAATTCTCATTCTGTTTTCAAACCATGAGGCTTTTTGTTTTTGTAAATGGTCGATATGATTTCTTACATTAAATGACAGCTAAAGGAATTTTCTCTTCTAATGAAATTCATAATATAGTAAAGGTGGTGAAGGAGACCTCGGCTTCCTAATTACTACTCTAGGTATCTACTCTTTTGTCCAAGGAAATGTTTTAGAAGTAAATTAGAAATTCCTGTTGGAGGCAGTGCTGCTTTAATAGCAGAAGTTTTCTTCCCTCTGTTTTCCTACACCAGAAGTCCAGAACCTGTTAGCTAACCTGTTGCAACAAACTTTTAGTAGCATGATAGAAGAGCCTTTCACATTAAACAAACAGTTCAAGAATGACTTGGTGCACACGTGAAACTAGTAAACTAGCTCTAATCAATACAGTGTTAGATACGTGTTCCGTGCCATCACTGAAATGGGTCATTTAGATCAGTTTTATATTTGATTCAAAGATGCTCAGTGCACATATAGAATGTCAGTGACTGATTATTTGTCGTTGTCTGCCTGGAATGGTTCTCATTGCACAGATTGCATGTCTTCCCTCTCTTTTTTTTTTTTTTTTTTAAATAAAGATGGGAACCAATAAATGTGCCAGCCAGGCAGGTATGACTGCTTATGGGACTCGAAGACATCTCTATGATCCAAAAATGCAAACTGATAAACCATTTGACCAGACGACAATTAGCCTACAGATGGGAACTAACAAAGGGGCCAGTCAGGTAAGCAATGCTGCATGTCATGTAATATATTATGAAATCAGCTCTTGTGAAACTGCCTAATTTTGGTGAGCAGGCCAGTGGCATACTGAAGGAGTGGCTTCATTGGGGAGTCCTCAGGTGAGAGCACAGGAAGGCAGATTTCATTAATGGTATCTTGAAGTAACTTGAAAGAGCCAAATTTCTTGTTGGCAGCTGACCTGATGGCCCTTAAGTTCTTTTCAGCAAGGAGCAAGCAAGGACAGAGGACCTTTCACAGCTCCTGCCTTAAGTTGTGATGAGCCCGAAAATGTCACTTCACATACTGACAACCAAACTGAAATAAAAGATTGCTGCCAAGGTTGTACTATAATTGAATGTCAAATACCCTCTTTCCAGAAAGTGTCCCCCCCTCCCCTCCAGCCAGGTGTTTTCTTGTCCCCAGGGGTGGGTTATGGAGTTACATCTTTCTCACTGACTCTCAACAACAGTGTAAAGACACTTTCTATTAGTTCAGCGTGCACAGTTTACTGAAACTAAGTTACAACATTTAATTGATTTGGGGTAGATTTATCCTAATGCTACTTTGTTAAAGCTGTCTTAAAATTCACTTTTTTGTGTTAGGCTGGAATGCTGGCACCAGGGACCAGAAGAGACATTTATGATCAGAAGCATATATTACAACCTGTGGACAACTCTACTATTTCACTACAAATGGGCACCAACAAAGTGGCTTCCCAGAAGGGGATGAGTGTGTATGGGCTTGGACGACAAGTGTATGACCCCAAATATTGTGCTGCGCCAACAGAACCAGTAATTCATAATGGAAGCCAAGGAACAGGAACTAATGGGTCAGAAATCAGCGATAGTGATTATCAGGCAGAATACCCAGATGACTATCATGGAGAGTACCAAGATGACTATCAAAGAGATTACCATGGTCAGTACAGTGACCAAGGCATTGATTACTAGATTTGCATCAAAAGCTCAATATTAGTCCATTATTTTATTCAGTAAAAAACGAAACTAGCCTTGTGGAATTGTTACCCATCTTCCCTACGCACTATACTTAATGTACCTAAAAAAATATTGCCTTACATACATTCCTTTTTCCGCCCTTTCCCTCTCTAGTTGCCTTTAGTGCTGTAACAGTTGTAGTCTACAGCATAACCAATAACTGCATATGAAGTAAAAAGGAATACTGTGAAAGGGGGAGTGCTTTTGTACAGCCAGTCTTTTAATTAAGAACTATGCATTTTCAGTCTTCTTACTGAATAGGCATTTTACATACCACATCAAAGCCTTGTTGTTTTTGTTTTGTTTTTTTACTTATTTACTGCTTACCAGGTTTCTGCATGAAAGACAAAGGACTTCCATGCTTAAAGTTAATATGGTCTCTGCCAACTACATCTAAGATGCAGCATTAGTGATCTAAAAATCATTACTTTGTTTCTACAGTATTGTTTGGTAATGTTTAAAGTCATACATTAGATACAGTAAATGTGCATTTGTGACTAAGTGTATTCATTCCATTATCTAAACTGACCAGACTCCTAGAAATAGTTGTCTTACTAAAAAGGGAGCTTGTACAGAGTCTTGAGCCAACAAAGAACCCATGTTTTGGTGCATTTACTTTTTATTGTGCCATAATGTATCCATGTAGAAATGCTTTTTTTTCTTTCTTGAACTGTATTTATTGCCACACTTCTCAACTGATCCCATTGTATTTTTATAAATAAATATTTTTTCTTGAAGGTACCTGGAAATTTTGTTTAGTTTATTACACAAACAAATGAGCTGCCCTGGAAGTTACCCTGACAGTCGAGAACATTTTAACCTAGAACAGCTCAAATTTAGTAGTTTTGGGTATCTTTTCTTGAGAGATTCCTTTCAATATAAGATCCCTGGATCACTCTGCACATCTCACCCAGAGTACAGTGGTCACAGCAGTTTCCTCTGCTTGTCACTGACAGCTTATATGCATGGTTAGGGACCTGTATATTATGACAAGGACAAGGGGGCAAGCAGTCTAACTACAGGTTTTGCATATGCTTATCTTGCTTCCCTACTTCACTCCCCTAAACAGCTTCTGGCAGAAGCAAACCCAATAGTTCACATCTTAGATGGGCCCTTTGATGTGCCTTTACATAAGTAAAACATTTTTATATTAATGCTCAAACATTCTGGACTTGTAGAGAAACACAAAATTGCTTGTAGCTTGTTCAATTAGTTCCTGATACTTATTTTTGATGAGAGATGACATGTTGTCTCAAGCTTAACTGGAAGGTAGGATAGGAGATACCTTATCTATTTATATTTTTACTCATCATCCCAAGCAGCTCTGTGTCAACAGAACTGCCAGCAGATGAACTGGCTAAGATGGGAAGAAGTTTCCCATCACAGCTACCCTCTACAAACTGCATTTACTTTATTTTTCTGAAAATAGCTTCAAGTTTGTCAATTCAAATATACATGGAGGTGACTTCTGAAAACCTACATGTTAAATGAAACATTTAGAAGCAGTGCTATGACTGACATTGATGGCTTTGATTAATTTTTAGCACTTTTCTTTAAAAAAAACAACACAATCCTCAACTCACTGCTCTCATTGAAGTCAAAGTGTAACCCCCATTAGCCTTCAGGGATGTTGGTTCAGTCTTTAAATCCAATTCCTTATATATCCATTACCTTGGAAAATAATGACAGGCAATTGCTTTCCTCAGTGCATTTCTTCTTGCATTTTGCACTTTTGATTGTGAAAGTAGCTTATGGCATCATGATTTTGAAGTTAGTAATTAGTCCATTATGAAATGGAAGTGTATATATCAGAATTACCTCCTTCCCTTGACCTTTTCTGAAAAGCCTAGCTTACTAGGTTAAGACTTAAACTTGCCCAAATTCACACAAATTTTATCCAGCAGTGTAGGTGTTGAATGGAAACAAAGGAGAGGGTGAATCAGAGAAATTACTACTAACTTCCAGACTACCCAAAAAAAAGCCTGGCTTTCTTCTTCCCAAATCGATTATATTTAATAGATTAATAAATGCCCCCTTTGTTCTATCACCTTTTATAAATGTGTTCATCTTAATTCTGCTGTTACTTTAGAAGTAGCTTTACTGGAAATTTCTCTGGAAGGAAAGCCTTACCCCACCACAGCAGCATGTGATGGGTTTGGTCCTTCACCTTAAGGAGGCAGAGCTGGGGAAGAGAGTGTATGAACACTTAGAAAAAAACCTGGATTTTACTTTTGGGTCTTGGGCTCTTAACAAGGGAGTGGGGGTGGAGGTGGGAAATTGCAGTTTGTGTTTCATTTATCTGAGAGCCAAAGTCAAACGCTGAAAAGTAACTATAGCAATCAAACAAGATCAAGAGACTGAAAGCCTCAACCTGAAAGCAAGAAAGTTGTTCAAATGTTTTCCATTTCTCAGAATGTGTTTAACAGACAATTTGGGAAACTGCTTTCTTATAAAAGGCAAATTCATAAGCGCATTAAAATGTGCAACTGAGTTGCAACCATCACTAACAGATAAAGCCCTGCAAAAAGGACAACACTTGCTGTACAGCCACAAGGCAGGGATGGTGATAGCCTTAGAGGCTGCCCTGCCACCTACCTGACTTCAGACTAACAGAGCTAACTACTTTGCTTTACTATACAGAATAAAGCAACCAAGAAACAAGGTATGAAAAGATAATACACTAGAGCAATGTCTGGGAATTCAGTGTTAAAGTTGTTTGGGAACTAGACACAGTAAAGCTTAACTTCCACAATGTAATGGACTTGTTAGAAAAACTTAATTGTTTTAATGTACACAAGACTTCTATAAATAAGGGTCTATTTAAGGGTCTACATACATTATAAAATTGATTGGATTCAAAAGGAGATGGAAAATTATCTTATAGCATCATCCACCATTCCTCCCTCTGTCTGGCAGGTGAGACAAAAGACAATGCCTCTTCCCTGTTTGCTCATCATCCCTCCATAGCATTACCATTTTCTCTCAGCAGCTCCTAAACTCTTTAAGGTGCGTCATGATGCAACAGCATGCACAGAAGACAGTAATACTACACCAGGGTGAGGAATCAGCTCTTAACAACTGCTAAGAGATTAAAAAGTCTTGTCCTTGCTCTGCATAGCAGAGGATTAGCTACCTTTGTCTCTTAACTGAGCTTCCCTGCTTTGTCAGCTTTCACTTCTGAATTTGGTCCCTCTGAAATCCTCTCTTTGTTCTTTGGACAAAGACAAAAATATTCACTTACCTGCAAAAAATGATCCTAGATTGAAACCACCTGTATCACTTTTGAATTTTTTCAAGAGATCCTCAGATTTCCTACTCAGCCCTGCCTTCAGCCCGAAGGTTCAAGCAGCTCTGGGGGGGGTGGGGAAAAAAAAGGATTTTGTTCTACTGAATAAAATTATAGCATCATGGCTAAATCTAGATGAGTTAAGGAAGTTCATTCTAACACTATGAGCGTTTGAAGTCCTTTCCAGTTGCATCCCAAGACAGTCTCCCTACTCATGGGATCACAGAACAACGAGACCATGAAAAATTAACATATAGCTTCCAATTTTACAGCTCCATGACAAAACAACCCCCCCCCAATTTTGGGGGTTTTATTTATAACTTTCCTGAACAACTTTTTCTAGCTCCTTTTCCTTTATTCTAAACAGCTCCACAGATTTCCATTCTTTGCCATTTCTCAGCCTTTCCTTATGGGTTCTGCTGTCAAATACCAAGGAAAATGCTCCCACATCTACTACTTCAACCTGGTATCCCAACCCCTTCCCATTATGCCTCTTTTCAAGATTTCCTCCTACAGCTTCATCTCAACATAACCAAGTTTGAGCTCATCTTTCCTCCTTTCTTTGTCACATACAAAGTGGCTATTTATTTTTTATTTTTAAGTATGAGGATTCAGAGGAGAACTAAGGGCTGTTCACAATCTTAACTGTTGAAAACATTTACCTACAAGAGTATACAATTCCCCCCACAATACCTCGTAGCCATTCTCTTAGCTGAATAGACTGCAGTTTCCTTCCAATGAGACTAGTATTGCTTCTCAATTGGTTGCAGCCATTGTGGAGAGCTACTGAACCACCCAGGTAGAAATGATCTCAGGGTATCTTCTCTATAATGTTTTGCATCTGTGGATCCAAGGACTATTGGCCATGTTTTCTACACAGGTGCATGCAGAATTACTACTGGGGTACCTGAACTGACATACTCAGAGAACTTGATACCAGAAGGATAGCTCTTCAACCTTGTTTTCAGACAACACCACCAATCTGACAGAAGAACTTTATTACTGTAACTTTCATGAAACAGCTTAACTTCTTGGCAGATATGATGAAAAATCCACTACTGGACTAAGAGACTGTGTTTAATTCTTCAGTGCAAGAGGTACAAACCAGTAGTTAGAGAACTACGTTACTTTGTCCCAAAGTATGTGTCCTTCACTTTGTTTTGTCTGAGTTTTGCTGCTGCTACTGTTTAGCCTGCATGCTTTCAGGTCTATTTCAAGTTCAAGCCTACACCCAGAGAGAAGAGTATCAAATAACATGTAGCACTGGTCTTGTTATCTGTATCCAAATGTTCTTAAAAGTAATCTGCAAAGAGAATAAGCAGCATTCATGCATCTGAAAATCCAGGATTGCCCTTGGTGAAATGTGAGGGTAAAAAGAAACGCATTTTACAGTCCACTTCTGTGCTTTTCTGAATTTTTAACTAAATATAATGAAAGACTGAAATAAGGGAGGAAGGAAATGTGAACAATAATAAAACTTAAAATTGTGCATTCCAGTCCAATGGCTTAGGCTATTATTTCCCTATAACATAATGCTTGGAATAAAGTGTAAGTGAGAGTGCCAGAGACTGAGACCTTGAGAATAAATCAAGAAAACAGTCACCAAAAGATAGATTTTATTTTTGTCCCTAGTGCGCTTTAGCAGGATAAAAAGCAACTGCTACTGCAGAACCTTTATCAGCCAGCTCTTGCTCCTGGCTTCTTGGGTGTGTGTGACAATCACACAGTTCTAAATAGTGGGGCTGTCCTCAGCTGGAATACGTTGGCATAGCTCCATTGAGGTCAACCGGTAAGCTTTATTCTTATAGTCTTCAAGGCTGAAATAGCCCTTTGGAGCGCTTCTCCTTTCTTGCATCTCATCAGTTTTAAACAACAGCAGAAGTCAAATAAGAAGGTCACTTCAGAACCAGCAGCCAAACCTTTCCCTTCATCAGAACATTGCTTGGTGCAGGGAAGCTGGGAATCTACTCCAGCCCCAGAGAAGCCTTGGGCTGCTCTAACTTGCACCACAGGCATACAGATCCAATCAGTCTTTATGTCTATGCAGGCCCAATAGAATGAGCCAGGGCCCCGGCACTCACTCTTCCTGCTCCTCTCCATCCCTTTTCTCCCTGATATGCTCCTTACATTGGGTCAGGGGAAAAATGGCTGCCACAAAAGTCAGTTCTGTCCATTTTACAGCAGCAGAAAATTCACTGCTGGCCACATACAACCAGAATCCAGCCCTTTTAGGAACTAACTCTGATGTTCTTGTGTCAGCACTGATGATGATGAGGGAGGAGGACAGAGAAATAAACCAGGGTAAGGAAATAAATATTTACAGTCTATGCCCAGTCTTTTTTAATACACGATGGGAGACAACCATTATCTGACGTCCACGTTGCACAGCCTTTGTTGCCGTCTCACCATAGGCTGGAGTTCTGTCCCATCATCACTATTCTGGAGGGTTTTCCTGTTTCTGTGCTTTTTCTCCTCATTTAGCTTATTGCTCTGCTTCACAAAGCTCTACAAAGCGGAAATAAGAATAAGGTCATCCAGGACTTTAAGTCTTTGATCAACCAGCTAGTTCCCAGGGTGAGGATGCTGTCTGATACCAAGCATGAACTCTGCAAGACCAGGAAGGAAATTACTGACACTGAGGGGCAGGAATCATTCTACTACATTCCTGACTAGAAATCTTCCCTTCATGCTAGCTTCTGGGACATGGCTGGCTGCACAAGAAGCAAAGACCACAGTGAAAAACAAGCTACTATGAAGAGTGAGAGAAGCATCTTAAGACAGCTGTGCGGCACAGGCAGGGAAAGGCTGTAAACCATCTTCTCCAGGAAAAATTCAGGTGAGACATATTATGGCATTTGGCAATTAGCAGGAGATTGCTGGAAGGGTCTCTTTTTCTAAGGTGACTGGAGAGCAAGGCTCCAGAGTTTTCAGTGCAGGAAGGTACCATTATTCAGGACAGCACTGCAGCATGCACTGATTTTTAAATATGTGTTTAAGTATTGACTTAAACCCTGCATATTGCTCAAATGATGAAACCCATTCAGGCAGCTTTTTTAAAACTTAATTCTACAAACATTATATGGGACAACAAAGGGTTTTTAAAATCTGAGATTATAGCACTGTCCCTCAAGAAATCCATCCAGAACAACCACATAATATGAGTCATTCTGGCTGCTGAGTTTATTTCTCATGGCTCGATAACATTTTTTTGTCGCATGGTAAATCAGGAGAAAGACAACACTGGCAAAAAGTGTGAAAGGAAAGCACATCTACTTCTTTAACCTTCCTGGTCATGTGAAAAGGCAGGCACACGTACATTTAAACATTCCACACATTTCAGTGCAATTAAAAATATCCTTTGTCATCATTAACTACCGAGCACATGTTAAAACTGAAGCTGTCTTCATAATCCTAATGATTTACAACACAATGTCAGGAATAGGGCACACTAATTATAAGGGTATAAATCCAAAACAATCCAGTACAGAGGGAGAAAGCTACAATCAAGAACCTATGACCATATTTTGGCATAAGACTCCTACTGTGTGTGGTCAAGACAGATTGGTTTAAGTCTGTGTGGTACAGATGAAGCATGTTCAAAATTAGTGTTAACAGGGCTTACCACAGAGACCAGCACAACTAGAGGAAATGCTAAAAATTGAGATGCCAGAGATCTAAATATTTAGTCTTAGGTCTTGATATGGATTGGACTCTATCCACTGGATTACCTATGTATTTGCTATGCACCAATAATGTACTCTGCACATATAGGACACAAACTTCTTTACCTGGAGTCTAAAAGACTGAAGATGATGAGAACTATTCTACAGGGAGATCCAAAGAGAGGCATTAACTTCAGTGTATAATTTTTGTTCCCCCCACTTTGAAGTATCAGACAGGAAAGTGTATTTGTTGTTAATTAGTGTTTGTGACACTTCGGTGGGGGAGGGAAGAGAACACATTTTAGGCACCAAGAACACCAGTTGATCAGTATTCAAAATACTTTACTGAATTTATCAGCCTGCTGTGTGTGTCCATTTGTCATGGGAATTTACCAGTAAGTCTTGATCCATGAAGTATGGCTTCTCTGTAGATCCATCGTTTGTTTCTATATCAATAACAAAGCAAAGGAATAGCGTATCCACAACTACTTCAAACACTGATAAAAAGTTGTGGGATACTAGGTAGGCAAAAAATGAAACCAGCAAGAGTGGAACTACCCACACGTGTAACTCACGATGGTAGTTAAAAGCCATTAATCCTGCAAAAACAGTAAAACATACAACAAACACCTGTATGTGGGGGAAAATGCAAAACAAATCATTAGTCATCTATGTTTATTGGAATACACATAAAAAAAGCCAAGCAAATGCCTCAATGGCTAATCTTCAAAAGGCTTAATTTATTTCAAAATTGGATAGGAAGGTCTGAGATGAATCAGCCTAAATTCATCTACTGGTGGTGTTCCCCTCAGAATCATGTGATTACTATTATGGTCATCCCTGTCCTCCTCCTATTTATGCCCACTTGTCATGCCCCATCTTAAATTAGCTTGTAGATTCTACAGGCCAGGGACCATCTCTTACTGTGTTGGTTCAGGACCTAATGCAATGGGGGTCTGAGCTGGATGGGGGCCTCTGGATACTATTGTAACACAATCCTATTGCTACTACTAATAATGCTGCTGCTGCTGTTGTCAATGCAACAATTATGAAAAGGAACAAACTAAATTACTCAATGACGAATTTTCCTTTCCTTTTATAGTGCAGCTCTACAGACTCATTCATGACGCGTGTAAAGAGAATTAGGCCTACCTCTTGAGCTCATTACTACCAGACTAGACCTTTTAGTTAATGATTAAGAGTTTAATATGTGGATTTTGTAAATTGTGTTTTCTTACCTTCCCTAGGAAAATGATAAAGTCTCCAAAGCAGCTAATGGATGCCATAGCAGTAGAATTCTTTGCTAAAATAAAGAGAACATCCTTTGCTGAGGTACAAAAATTTGTCCCATTTATAGCTGTTGTTGTGTACACATGCTGAAATAAGAGAAAGTAATATGATTGGGGTAAAAATGACTAAAACTATATTATCAAATCCTCAAATTGTACATAATTAATAGTTTCTTTCATAATCTTGCAATTTAACTTCAAGCAAGTATCATTATGCCTCCAATTCCTAATGGACTTTTCATCTAGTTTCTGCTCTATGTACTGAACTTCTATATGAAATAAGGACTGGAGTAGTTTCATAGTAGTTTGGGGTCAGAAGGGACCTGGACAGATCATCTAGTCTGACCCCGCACCACTGGCAGGAGCACACGCTGGGATCACATGACCCCAGACAGGTGTTCATCCAACTTCTTTCTGAATTTACCCAAGGTAGGAGCGAGGACCACTTCCCTAGGAAGCTGGTTCCAGATCCTAGCCACCCTAACAGTGAAATAGTGCCTCCTAATCTCTAACCTGAACCTATTCTCCAGCAGCTAATGAGTTTGTAGGCAGCCACCAAATCCCCCCTCAGCCTCCGTTTGCTGAAACTGAACAGGTTCAGGGCCCTCAGCCTCTCCTCATAGGGCCTGCCCTGTTGCCCTCCAACCAAGCGTGTGGCCTTCCTCTGGCGGCTCATGTTCACCTTGGAGTCAATAATGACTCCAAGATCCCTTTCCGCCTCTGTGCTCACAAGGGGGGAGCTCCTCAGCTTGTATGTATGCTGTGGATTCCTTCTCCCCAGGTGCAGCACCCTGCATTTGTCTACATTGAACCCCATCCTATTACCATCCGCCCACTTCTGTAGTCTGTCTAAGTCTAATTGCAGCCTTCCTCCCTTCGAGCGTGCCTACCTCTCCCCACATCTTGGTGTCATTGGCAAACTTGGACGTGTTTTCCACCCCCTCATCCAAGTCACTGATGAAGATGTTGAACAGTGTAGGCCCCAGGACCGAGCCCTGGGGGAGCCCACTATTCACATCCCGCCAGGTCGAGTATGACCCGTTCACCACCACTCTCTGGGTGCGCCCCATCAGTCAATTTTTGACCCATCCAACTGTGTAGGCATCAATGCCACAGTCACTCAATTTATTAATGAGAATGGGGTGTAATGGGGTGAGAACGGGGAGTAATATCAATATTTCTGAAACTCTCTCTGTCCAGTTTCTTTTGAAACTTTGCAGATCCTTACTTTAAACCTTTGGTAGTGAATAACTAAAATGACACACAAATTGCAGGGGAAAACTTATCTGGATATGTGCCATCTTAACACTTTTTATATATACACCAGCTAAACATGCAGTAAGTTGTTTAAATGAAACAAAGCAACTTATATCAAGCTTTGTCTACTAAGAAGTTATGATTAAGAATATTTTTATATGTGGCCCTTCCACATGTTTTTGAGAACGTTTACATCCATAACCATGAAACAGAATTTTTTCAGGATTAGTTTTCATTTTCTTTTGGAATGTGGAATTTTGCCAAGACTAACTGGAGAATAGGCTGATTATCTACTACTTTAGGGTTGTTCCATCATCTTTTAAAAAATGATCTATTCAACATATTGAACTTCTTAATGAAGTGTTTGACTTATTGCCTCAGTAATCACGTGGGAGAAACGTCATTCAAGATGTATGAAACTGTTAGTTATGCAGTAGTTTGCTACAGAGACTGATTAACAGCTGTCTTTTTCTCAAAATGCTGGCAGGTTTATTATACTTTCTGGAAGTATTAGAAAACATCAGTTAAATTTGGTATGCTTGGTAGCACTAGCAGTATGCAAGGGATTATTGTGCAAAAGGAATTTGTAAACCCCAACATTTAGTTTGGGATTAGAATACTCTGCTTGTGAGTGAAAAAACATTCTGCTGAAAGGAAAATATAGAGATTGTACAGCACTTCTAGACTAACATTCCATTTTCTTTTCTTATTACAAACACAGTTTTTATCTACCTTTACATACGTATGTGTATGTAGTTCTGGCTTGTAAGAAGAATGCAAAGGCTGCTATAATAATTTGATATGACCATACCTTAAACTGTGCTAAGGAGGAAATAGAGTAAAAACAAATGCAGACCTTTTGTACCTGTGTAGTAGACATGAATATGCCACTGACCACAACCATACTACCTTCATGCTTAAAATTAAGATGCTCTCGTGCGTTTTGTTAGGTTGTGGTCTTAATCACCAGTAAGCAACACACAGAATAGTGTATCAGTGTCTCAGACTAGCCAGTTACAAAGTCACAGATCAAACAGGCTCTTTCTTTTTGGATACTAGTATTTACATGAAGCCAAACCTACAACTCATTTGGAAAGATCTTCCCAGATCTTGCACTCTGTGGAATGCTCCCAACATTCTCTAGAAGTCCAGATTTTCCCTCTTGCTTTCAAGTTATTGGAAAGAAACATTTACCCACTTGTTCCCTTTCCCCAAACACATTTTTGTTGTATGAGTGGCAGACCAATGCCAAGTAAGAACTTATTTTTATTTTGAAAAAAAAAAAATTAAATTTAAATATGGTGTTTTCTTCTACAGGCAGTACGCTCTTTCCTTACACACCGGAGCCTTTGTTTAACACATTGCATTGGTACAGTCCTTGAAAAACCTCTAGGCAAGTAGTTATGTTATTAGACCAGCACCACGGATCAGACAGCATAGGATGCAATGGGTAAAATGCTGTCATCATTCTTGTACTGGAGAATTAATGTACCACAACTGTTTTTTTGAAGAACACAACCATCTCTGGTTTGAAGCCTGGGAACTTGACACATATTTTCAGTATTAGGATAGATAAATAGGGAATGTGAATGTTTACGTATTTCCAAATACCACAGTATGTAAGAAAACTATTTAGAAAAAACATCCTTCTGTGCTTCAAAACACAGAATGTCAAGGGTCTTGGAAAAACTGACCTGCTAGTTTCATGAGAAAGGCACTGTGGCAGAGATCCAGGCCGTAAGTTCCCTGTTTGTTGAGAATAATTGCTACTTTGTGTAGCAGCTGATTTCAGTCTTCCATTCTAGGACCGGCTACAACAAAATGAGCTCAGTGAAAGAGGACTGCCATAGCAACAGAATCTTCTTTAAAAAAAAGCCCCAAATAAGCTGGTCAGACATGCCACTTCAACTTCTTCTGCCCTATTGATATTTTCAGTCTGACGTATTTTTCTCCCTGCAGCAACTCTCTCAAGAGTCAGTCTGGCTGCTGATTGCCAGTGCAGTATGGCAGATCCAAGATTGGATTGTGGTGGCTCTAGGCTGATAAGTGTTTGAGGCACCAGAAAGACTTTCTCAGAAACAAAAGTGGGTGGAAATAAGAGGCTACAAACATATCCTAGCTAGAGCATACAGCAATGACTGACTGACTCATGCTGGAGCAAGTTATGTCATGGCATTTCTTGACAGACCTGAGGAAAGTGCGGAAGGAAGTGGAGGACTTCTTTGATGATCCTGAAAATACCACTTCTTAGGAACAAAAGACTAGAGCAAGGGACACTTAGGGTGCATGCAGATGAGCACAGACATTTGTTTCCCCCGGGACAAGTAGCAGCGGCACATCTTGTTCCTTGTGCCCCTGCTACTTGTGCCGGCATTGCTACTTGTGCCCTGCTACCTGTCCCCAGGGAACATATATGCCACACTTATCTCAGAAGGGGAAGGGGAGTCTGGGGCCAGCAACTGTGCTGATCCTAGAAGCCTTAGCAGGGGTCCTGGGGGCCTCCCAGGGCTGCAACCAAGGCAGGAACCCTGGCCAGCAGCCAGAATGTGGCTCTGGCCAGCCAGGCTCTGGTTTTGGGCAGCGCATGCTGCTGCCACATGCGCTGCCCCACTTTTATTGGTGCGATTTTTTTGACCCTGGGATCTGCCAGGGTCAGACCCCACCCCCACGCTGCAAAGTAGCAGCACAGGGAATGCCTGCATGTCCAGTGTGTGGCACAGCAGATGGGTCTGCAGCGCCACATACTGCACATCCATTCTCATCTGGATGCACCCTTAGGTGGTAAAACCCAGTCCCCAGTTATCACAGGCATCAGAGTTGTGGATTTTTGCTCCCATACCTTCTGTTGCAGTGTTTCCCAAACTTTTTCTTACTGCATACCCCTTTCCAGATTTACTAGCTGCCCATGTAGCCCTACCAGTGTACTTTTAGATTCTAACCGCTTAAATTCCAATTATTCTAATGAAAATTAAATCTGCCATTACACAATTTCTCCCGAGTACCCCCCAGAGATGTCTTGCATACCCCCAGGAGTACGAGTACCACACAGAACAGGGAACCTCTGTTCTATCAGATGGTTATGGGCCTCCTAATTTCCAGTGTGAAGTTACTCATGGCCACTTGTTTTTGTGACAACATTGTCTTTCTGCTTAAATCCTTCCCTCTCTTTCCTGGTTTGTTCCTATTCAGTGATCATATCTCCTCCCAGTCTTTGTTTAGCAAGGCTAAACAAGCCAAGCACTTCTAGTGTCCTCTTGTATCACACTCCCTCTTTCCTTGATTATTCTAGCAGCCCTTCTCAGTACCTCTCCTAGTTCATCTTTTTTTGAAGAAGGCAACCAAAATTGTATACAGTACTCAAAATGAGGTCTCATCCCTCATGAGTACTACTAGCATCCTCTTTTATCTCTGCTGGAAGGAATTTACCCAATGAATCTTAGCATCATGTTTGCCTTTTTTATGACTGCATCACACTAGTGATTCATATCCATTTGATGATCAGCTAATATGGATACTTTTCCTTCTCTGTTGCTCCTGGCTTAGAGCACATAGCATTAGTTATTAGACCATAATAACAATGATCTTGAGCACTGAACTTTTTAATTTCATTCCATTTCTATGAATCACTCTTAACACTATCTGGCTTTAAGATCATCCTGACGTTATGATCTTCCTTTGCTACTGACAAGACTTCCCAGCTTTTGTGTTTTCTACAAATGTCATTAGCATTTGTGAACCATGCAGTACTTTAAGAGTTAGCCTTTTTCAAAACGCTGTGCTTCTGAATTCCTCATTAATCACCCCCTTACTTAAAAAAGGGAGTATCATTT